GAACATAATAACATATGTATGTGCGAGCATGCGTTGTATGAGGCACACCACCATTCGATTTACGAAGATTTATTTCGCGTTAATACAGTTCAGTATCATGAAAGACAGAGTATATTAGTTGTAAATTATTTCAATCCTGTAACATTAACCAAATTATTACGCAGAAGCATCCCTATGTTAACACAGTATGTACTGTTGTGTTTCTTCTTGTAGTCTCGTTTCTGAGAACAACAAACCCATCGCTTTGGTCGAATACGAAACAATTTCCTCGTTGATAACTGTTATCGGTAATTGAAATAAAGCTTTCTCCACTGGTAGCTATATGAGTGACCAAAACAGAATTTCCTTGGCCGATAACTGTTACGAATATACTGCAGAATTCTATGCAAAATAAAAATTGTTTGCATTAATTGAAAGAAATACAAACCAATCAGAGAGTTGTTTCTTCCTGTGACAATTTTTATAAATTGAAAATGGTGTATTTGACATCCTTAAGATCTTTTATTCTTGCTACTACTTCAAATGTTACCTACTCAATTTTGTCATAAATATAAAATCAGCTGTTTAGTTCTGAATAACTGGAATAAATTCCCTTCATTAAAAATAATAAATTATTTAAAAAATAATCTTCGCAATCGATAATATTCACTGGCAACGCGACAAATTTTTGGCTAATTTTAATTGTTATCTATCTGTTTTATTCATTGAGAATCCTTCTACCTATGGCACATATTTCACTAAACCTTTAGATTCGACAATGTTTCCAACGAATTTTTAAAAGAGATGTTTCTATGTGCAACGTGTTCAATTTATGTTTCGCGCTCTCCGTTCCGCGAAAACATGGTGCAACCAATCAGAAGAAAGAACGAAAGGGGGAAGTAGAAAGGAAAGAAGGAAGGAAGGCAAACAGGAAGGAAGGAAAGTATTTTACCAGGAGCATTCGTTCAGGATATCTCCAATATGATGCGAGATAATCTGTTTGAGAGTATTAAAACGTATACGAATCTACAAACCTCAAGTCTATAAATACAAATCTACAAACAGCGAGAACAAATACGAGATTTTTGCTGAAATATTATCAAAAAATACACACATGTCTGTATAGAGAAAATTTGAAGAATCCACCAACGAAGATAAACGAACGTAGACCCGTATTTCTTTATCACGAGATGGACTCGTGCACAGATAATTAGTCTCTAGAGTTGGTAGTTGAAATTTGACTATTATTGTTGCAATTATATAACAATATAACTCTGCGCAGACTTGAGAACATTTAAAATGACATTATTTTAATTATCATTTCAAAATATTACNAGTTATTTTCATGCCTGTGATCCCTTCTGAAATAACATTATTTGAAATATTATTTCAAATAACACGTTATTTCATTTTATAATTCTTTGAAATAATTCTTTAAAATAATTCTTCGTGGAAATTATCTGGTTTGTACCGTCATATGGATTGACATTTTTGCAAGATAAAAGAACCGATCTGACTATGTTAAATAATTATTCGCTTGCAAGAAACACTTTTCTCAAGAATAATTCCACGACCATATTAGACGAATCCAAACAATAATCTTTTAAAGATGAACTTTTTAAAGAAATAGTTTGCTGAAAGCAAGTTGTTGTAAAATAACATTTTTTCTGTTGAATATTATTTCAAGCATTCTATCTTCGTGAAGATAAAGTTTTGCTAGAAAGTAAATCTATTCCTCAAAATAAAATCTTTTCATTGCTTATTATTTTGATGATTCTTTCTTCTGTCATATTTGAAATAAAAAACAACGAAATAATTCATTATTTGAAATTGCTATTATTTCCAATGGATCGAGATGATTTTTATTTTCAAATAACAGCATTGAGAATTTACGGAAAATCAGGAATTAATTGCGAACTTTTAGCTGGAAGTGTATGTAGAATGAAATTCGATAGCACATCCGTATCGGGGCAGGCAATTTATATATGAATAATTTCAAAATTTACGATATTCTCCTCTTATTTATTGCATTCGAAAAGCAACGAACGATACATGAAACAGGATGTTATTAACATGCGCTTGGAGAGAAAATTCCAAACATATTGAAATCACGTTTATAACTTAATTGTGTCAAGATAAGATAATCAATACTGATAAAACGACTTAAATGAAAATATCTACATGAACGACTTTTTAATGTGCATCTTTTATTATTTTCTAATGTTGCATGTAATAGGTTAATATTACCTTTCTATAATTATAATAACTAATTATAACAATAATTACTTATTATAATATAATTATAATAACGTGTTCTAATATAATTATACCAATTATTATATAATTGTAATAACTTATTTCAATATAATTATAATAACTAATTATAATTATATATAGTAATTAAATATTTATACAATATAAGTTATTATAATAATAAATTATAAATAATTACAATAGAGTAGAACGATTTTCATTTTATTTCTGATATTAATTAATTTATTGCATGTGATCATTGCATGTGCTGCAAGTTCATTAACGCGAAATAAGCATTTCAGCCAAAATGTGAAGGAAAAATGGAATCTCGATAAAAGTAATTGATCCAATTTTTCTGGATAGCTGTCGTATCTTCATCTCTATTTTTCCCTCGCCAGTGTGTACAAACCTCTCTTTGATTATCAACAGGAGATATCTCTATTCTCAATACTCCTCTCGATATCGTATCGAATTAAAATCGATAATTTACCAGAATAGAACATAATATAAAGATCTGTAACATGATGTGTTGACCTGAACAGAAAACAGGAAGTCCCAATAAAAATTAATTAAACTGCACGAAGTTTTATATTGTATTAATTAAAATGTATTGAATACTTCATTTGAAGTGCGATAGAATCTATATTATTTTGAAATCATTATTATAGTATAAATATNAAATTATTATGAAGTTAAATTTAATGTTTTGGGCTGGCTTACACCTTTTTGCTTTAAAAAAATTGTCGTGAAAATATCATAAAATAAAATTTTTTCGTTGATTATTATTTTGTGGATTATTTCTTTGTGATAAGGACGTTGTGTTAAACAAATTGTTGTAAAGATTTCATGAAATAAATTCATTATTATTATCATTATTATTAGTATTATTTCTTTTAGCCGATTTGAAATAAAGAAATAACAAAATAATTTGTTATTTAAAATCGTTTTATATCAAATGCATCGATATTATTTTTATTTTCAAACAATACTACTGAAACTAACGGTCTCGAAACTATTGTTTCAAATAGTTATTTTTTATTTTTATTTGAAATAAAATTTGCCCAGGCCTGATTCTGTGGACGAAATTGTGACTAATGCATTAATACTTAAAGTAAGAATCTCTTTTGACAGAAATATGACCGAGTATGCTTGGGTTCATCTAACATTTTATTCATCAATTTCTCTCAACAGATTTATTACAGTAGTCCCTCCAGACACGTTAATTTCTCAATTAACATCAATTAATAAACGAAAATTTGAATTAATTGTCAAAAACTTGATAGTCAAGTAACAGTATTTATACTTTGGGTCCAAATGAACTTCGCTGACCTAGTGTTAAAACGTTCATTCCCCAATGCGCGAAGAGATAAATTTAATATAGGTCAGAAACGACCCGGCCCCATATTTCGTTCCGCTGACCAAATGTTAATTGAAACCTTAGTTCCGTGCTAGAAAAACCAAAGTAAACTTACGACTGTTACAACAAATTGCCGTTTATCAAATAAATCGGTTAGGAATTTAACCGATCACAATTATTTGATAAGTTTGAACAAAGACATCTCGATCTGTTTACCGACACTGGCAATATGCGAACGATTTTGTCGAGCAAGCCAGTTTTATTAGTAAGCCTTACCAATAAATTTTATTCACTTGATTAAACCTTACGTGGGTAATCCAATTGGTGGTGCAGTTGTGACACTCTTTAAACTATAATTTATTAAGCATCGTCGACCAGAAAGCACATACAGTCGTTCGATCGATTCCGTAACGTAAAGAACGCTAAATTTCATTGCGATACACTAAATTGAATTGTTACAACTATACATAATAAATATAGATTATTATTACACTATAATAATGATATAAAATATCATTGTAATGATATTTTTCGGCATTAATAAATTCGATACTTGTGAATAAATCGATTATTTTACATTCATTCTTAGATCCTAATATTATCTTTCATTTTTAAATAATTTCTTCCTAAAAGCTTCTATAAATTTTGACTGAGACCTTTAATGTTATATCTCAGTGGACAATGAATGAAAAGCAACTTTGATAGAAGCATACAAGAAATGAATTGTATTTCTTAGTGAAATGATTTTTTTTTCACTTATTTTTAAATGAACATGCTAGAAAGTAATGTAGTATTTATTGTAAAAGAAAAAGTGGAAATGGATTTTTTTGTAACAACTGTCCTGATAGCTAAGGACTAGATGTTTATAAAGACTAGTACAATTATGTGCATGCATTAGTAGTTTTATACACGTATCTTACGAAAACAAATCTTTTGCCAATTCTAATTCTTAGTACTTTGACGTTAATAAATTATAACTCGTTACATAAAAGCACACATGAGCATTCTACCGCTATACATTATAATAAATTAGGTTTTCAAATTTTCAGTAAACATCAAGCGATAATATTCATTGTAGCTTGCAACATTTGAGATAAATATACAAATGTACCTATCACTTCTACTTTAGTGTGGACATATGGGAATAATACATAAATAGCATAAAAAATTGTAATACATAAATTATTAGAATTAATTGTTCATTTATAATTGGTTGTACCATTAACAACATAATTATAGGCTGTTAATTAGTTATTCCTGTATTTCATTACAAATTGCATGATACTTGATGTTTTAGATCACTTCAAATAATATTCGATTGGAATATGTTTATGCGATGTAACCATATGAATCGTACCCAAATCTGGAGACAAAAAATTTGTTCATGCATTAAAAAGACTTGAAAACTTACCACCACCAGAGTTCCAACAATTATCAGTCATCCCTGTTTATCCATCTGCAAAGTTGGCACTACATTATTACACTGATATCCAACTTGTTCAATTATGTCACATCACAGATGTCTTTGGCAGGAATATGCACCCTCAATGCACTTTTCATGAACTCTTCGTATCCGATAAATAAACTTTTATCTTCGTCAAAACGTACTGCACCAATGAGAAGACACCTGTTTTATTATAGCTCTCACAACACTGTCTTGATCATAGAGTATCAAATATGTATGAACAATAGTGCGATTACATACTTGCAATTATATTTAAAAAGTTTCTTTATAAATGGAAGATGTTTACATAGAACTAGCGGATGATATAACACTTCATTAAACACATCTATAAAGATATATTAGCTGTTATTTTGAACTTAGTATTTACACACGTAAATTTTTTCAATTTATTTCTTAGTTTAAGAAAGTCAACGAATAGTACTTGCTTCGTGCCAGTGACATGTCGTGTTGCATGTGTCTTCTTTGTATTTAAATTTAACATTAACTTATTTATTACATAATTGAAACTTATTCTGCTCTATAATTAAATGCAAAGATAGCTTTAAATAAATTTTGAATTTTCCATTTTTTACACAAAATATCTAATGAATTAAAAATACTAATTTTGCTTGATACAGCTATTTAATTATACAACACTTAGGAGAATTGGAGACATTATTAGTAAAACATATATACATATGTATGTATACAGAATTTGAAGTAAAATGTGTGTACCTGTATAAAATATGACTTGAATTTTCTTTACTTTTAGGCTTGCAGAATGAATATTAAAATCTATTTTTTATTCTTATTTGTTCTTCAGTTTTAAAATGTTTCAACTTATAGTCTCAGATGTTCAACAAGAGTATTTAAAAAAGTGACTGTCACATTATAACCCCAAGGATACAGGGAACAAACAAGAACGTATCTAAATAAGGAATGACTGGTTGGAAGGTGTCACGGAATAAAAATTAATCACTCGTAACTTGATTCGAAACGAATTTCGTAATAGCAACAATTTGCATGAACAGGAACAGTCTCGTGACTATCGAGGCGAGGTTATGAACGGTGTAAATAAATAAAATTGTACACCAAAAGGAGAATACTGTTTATCGTACTGCTGAGTGAGGTTATTTACGAGAATCAAAAAAGATTCAAGACACTTGAAACACGATCATGTACCTGTTGTGCGGTGATATGTCGTATCACAAGCACAACAATCAACTTCAAATGGAAAACGGGATGCAAGCTGTATTCTCGTCGCACGACCAGGTCGACAAGTTTCACCTGAAGTTTTCTCAAAGGTGCCTATAGGTCGAATTAGTTTGACGCCTTTGAGGTTACTACGTGTATTCGACAAAAATCTGGTACTCTGGAAAAATCGCGAGGCACTGTTTTGCAAGCGCAGAAATCAAAGACCAGGCCACTCATAAACTAGGCCTGACATCATGACAAAGACAGAAACGATCGTGAAACGTGATGACGAACGGACGACCAAACGCACGGCAATAGGGGGTCTCTGTATTATCCGTGTCTCTGTCCGTCCGTCTGTCTGTCTCCTTCCGTCTGTCCTCTCTTACATGTACATGCACGCACACATTCTCCTTCTCCCTCTCTCTTGGTTGAACATTCGTTGGCTCTCGCTTGCTCGCACTGTTCTTCGTTACTTCCCTAGATAATTCTATCTTCTTCGCACCGGCCAATACAAGGTTAAACGTTCATCAACATGAAACGGCACAAGCTACCGCGTTTCTGAATTTTCGTGGGCAATCACCAAGTGCCCTAATTATTCAACGTACCTCGCGTCGCATAATAGGGCACCGTCTTTCCTCTTATTTCTTCGAGTCTGTCTTTCTTTTCCCCTATCTAGCTACCTTTCTCTTTCTTTCTCTTTCATGACATAGCGCACTTTGCTTATTGAAAGAAAGGGGAAAAACTCATCTGGAAAATGGCCGCCGCCCGCTTGTTACCGATTTATCCCCTTCTTGCATGGCTACTCTCAATGTGCACGGTAACAAGCGTGAAAACACAAACAATGCTAATGCTTCCTGTATTCGAGCCAATAGGTCGTGATTATGATGAGAACACAGATTACGCGATACCGAAAACGTATATTCTAGACGCCGGCACACATACGTAATAATCGCACTACTTGCTACTACGAAAGAGTATACGTATTAGTTTTTTAATTCGCGAATTGTACGGCACCTCTTCCATTTGTCGCGCGTTCACGTGCGAAAAGATGGAACACAGCACTTGTTTAACACCACGATTTATTAAGCAAACAATCACTCCAACGGGAACGGACCGTCAGCGTCTTAAAAGTCATACGATTTTCTTTCGCACGTACTCTCGACGACAATGACGTCGCTTCACCATAGCACACGCTCGAGTTTCTGTCTCGCTCGCGTCAATAGTTCCGTTCGCCACCTTACGACTTCGGCTATTATCGGTGAACTACGATGTTTATTCGGTACATCAACTGACCAGTCATGGTTCACACTGAGATCGTTGCTGCTGCTCCTCTTCGTTTACATACTGCATTGCTACTTCCAGACGGTAGATGCGGTTACCGATGGTTATGTATTACCTTAATCATTAAAATGCGGACTCTATACGTTTATAGTAGACACAACTGTCTAGTGCATATTAAAAAACAAATTTCAACGAATTCTGATGTAAACATCGTTTTTGTCCCTTACTCAGTACAGTTTACGAGAACATATTTACGTGTTTCTTAATTTCTATTTCTCGAAATTCTTTTACACAAATTTTCATTTGAATAAAACTGTGATCTGTTAGTCATTTGTAAGATAATGGATAAAGTCTAGAAGATTGTGCGTGGGGAATAATTCTTGGTATCTTCCAAATCTATTTTTGTCTACAATGTCTTCATTGATTTTCTTTGGTTATCTGT